ACTCCTCTCTTTTTTGGACTTTTTCCAGAAATACCACTGTTTAAAAAAAGAATTCCAAAAATACCACTCAACCCCAAAAAATTTCAAAAATACCACCTTTTTCAAAAATCGCCACCCCACCCAGCGGTTTACACGAAAATCGCTTGTCGGGTGCGCGATTTTCTATGCAAACCGCGGGCCTAGGGGGCGCTTATAAAAAAAAAAATTGGACCAAACCGCTGGGTGGTGGCCGTTTCGCCCAAAACCGACACCCCACCCAGCGGTTTGGTCCAAATTTTATTTTTTTCCGATCAACTCCTAGCTTCGGCCGAAACTTCAAACGAACGTAACTTTGCACTCGGGTATCCGATCGTAGCGATTTTTTTTTTCATTTCGCCTAACTTTTCAAGATCTACAACTTTTACTAGGATGAAATTTTCAGAACATGAATTAGTTGTGGATATACGGGACCTTGGGAATAACTTTACCTTTACTTTTCACAAATCCATGTACATTTTGAAATTATGGTTATGTTAAAAGTTGTATATCTTGAAAAGTTATGCGGAATAAAAAAAAAATTTCATGACGTTCGAATTTTGGAGCACAAAGTTATGGCCGCCCAAAGTTTGACGAAAGGCGTGACCCGGCGGTTTGCGGCTTGCAAGATCTCAAAAAGTTTGCGGCCTCCATTTTTTGAATCTGAATAACTTTTTGAGATCTTGCAAGCCGCAAACCGCCGGGTTCCGCCTTCGTCTCGAAAAAACGTCATTTGCCACCCCGAACGAGCCTTTTTTTGATTTCGTCAAAATTTGGGCGGCCATAACTTTGTGCTCCAAAATCCGAATGTCATGAATTGTTTTTTGATTCCTCATAACTTTTCTAGATCTACAACTTTTAACATAACCATAATTTCAAAATGTACATGGATTTGTGAAAAGGTAAAGTTATTCCCAAGGTCCCGTATATCCACAACTAATTCATGTTTTGAAAATTTCATCATAGTAAAAGTTGTAGATCTTGAAAAGTTATGCGAAATGAAACAACAATTGCTACGATCGGATACCCGAGTGTAAAGTTACGTTCGTTTGAAGTTTCGGCCGAAGTTAGGAGTTTATCGAAAAAAAAAAATTTGGACCAAACCGCTGGGTGGGGTGGCGGTTTTGGGCCAAACCGCCACCCCACCCAGCGGTTTGGTCCAATTTTTTTTTTATAACCGCCCCCTAGGCCCGCGGTTTGCATAGAAAACCGCGCCCCCGACAAGCGGTTTTCGTGTAAACCGCTCGATGGGGTGGCGGTTTTTGAAAAAGGGTGGTATTTTTGGAATTTTTTGGGGTTGGGTGGTATTTTTGGAATTCTTTTTTTAAACAGTGGTACTTTCGGATTTTTTTCCTTTTTTTTGGTAGAAAGATTGTCATACTAGCGCCTAGCTCATATTAATAATAAGACGTTCTTGGGTTATCTCCATTACATCGTGGCGTAGTCATTGACCAAGACCTTGGTCGCACACATCTAAGAGATGTGTGCCAAAATTACACTCATGCCCTTTACAAGCCAAAAAATCAGCAGCATGGCTAGCTTCTCTAAAGATGTGGGAAATGGTAAATTCTCAGTCAAGGTTCAGTAGGTACTTCAGCTCTTTTGCAGTGTTGCCATGGCGATGGTTGTCGTTGGCCCCTTGATGAAGTCAATCGCCTTAGTGGAATCCAGCAACAAGTTGATCTTTCGATAGTCTCTCTCCCAAGCGAGTTTGAGACCCTCAGCAGCTCCTTTGAGCTCAGCAGCAGTGATTGAACCAAGGTCAAGATTGCAGACGAATGCTGCTCTACAGAAGGCGAGATGATCCCTGATCAATCCACCCGCAGCAGCCCTTCCAGTCGACGTGATCACATAGCTATCAGTCTGCACTTGAAACCATCCCTCCCTTGGCGGTTCCCAGCCCACCTGAGTCATGATGCGGTCGTTGCAGTTCTGACTCACAGTCTTTTGGCCAAAAGAAAAAGCCCGCCAAACAATGCTAAACCATGCATTAATCGTAGCAATTAAGCCACCCTTCAAAAACACTTCACCATCCAGAACCTCCTCGTTTCTCTGCTTCCACAAGTGCTAGCAGACAATACCAAAATCCATTCCGGTTGCTTCACTCCGGAGGTTGGCCATCAGCCACTCATCCATTGGTACGTTCTGGTTTTTCTCAGCAAGCTTGCTCTGCATAGTCTCCCAAATAGTTCTAGGTTTGTGGCTTCCACGCAGGATGTGTTCGATTGATTCTTCCTCAGTTTTGCAGTGATTGTAGAACTTATCATTCGACATTCCTCTTTTGTTCCTGTCCTTGTTTGTGAACATGCGATCGTGAAGCACCAGCCACAAGAAATGTTTGATTCTATTTAGGACCTCCCCATCTCCAAAGATCCTTCCAGGCTGGTTAGGAAGGGTCTCTTCCTCCTCACTAACGATCTTGTACGCAGATTTGAGCCTAAACCTCCCATCCCTTTCAAGACCCCAAATGGAAATGTCCTCACCCAGCTCTGGTTTGGGTGCTTCCATCCCTGCAATCATGGCCAAAATATCACTAGGGAGGACCTCCTCCAGTTTCTGCCAGACCCACTCACCCTCATCAGTTGTCCACTCTGCCACCATAGACTCCTTTCACAGCTAGATATGTCTTGGAGAGCAAAATTCTCCAGTCTAAGCCCACTCTCCAGCCAGGGTTGTGACCAGAATTTGGTTGAGCATCCATATCGAACACTCCAGCATGTAGCTTCCTTCATTATGTTCATCCATTTCACAATAGCTCGCCATAAGTTGGAGTGTCCACTCTTCTTCATGACAATGACTTCACCCTCCTTATGCTTGAAGTACTTGCTTTGGAGTACATAGACTCACAAATCAGACTCATTAAGCATATACCATCCCAATTTGACCATACATGGCATATTCATAGAGTGAGCAGATTTGAGACCCAATCCCCCTTGATCCTTAGGTATGCAAATTCTCTCCAAGACACCAGATGAGGTTTCTTTTTCCCTTCCCCTGAACCCCAAACAAAGCTTCTAAGCTTTCTATCAATGGAATCACAAACAGACATAGGCAGGAGGGTTGTTTGCATTACATAGTTAGGTAGAGCATTCAACGCAGACAAGGCCAAAGTAACTCTACTAGAAAGGGAAAGAGTTTTTGCTTTCCAGCTATATAATTTTTGATCAATTCTATCAATAACATATTTGTATGTCATTTTAGTAATACGACCATACGGGATAGGGATGCCAAGGTATCTACCTAGGTCATCAGTAGCTTGGATACCTAGTCTATTGTATATATCGTTCCTAGTTTGGCTCTTGACATTTTTGGGAAAAAACACCCTAGACTTATCCTTGCTAACTGACTCTCCAGAGGCCAAACAGAAAGTTTCCAGATAGTTCATCACAACATCAGCATGGTTAATAGAGGCTTCAGCAAACAAAACTAAGTCGTCTGTGAAGAAAAGGTGGGACAGAGCAGGTCCTCCAGGTGAGAGGGACACTGGTTTCTAACGACCTAACCTCACTTCATCTAAGATGCAATGACTAAGACGTTCTACACATAATGTAAAAGTGTAAGGAGAGAGGGGGCATTCCTGTCTAAGGCCTATTGATGGTTTGAAGCTGTCAGTCTCCCCATCGTTCCACAGGACCTGGAAGCTCGAAGAAGTGACACACTCCATGATGATTTTGATGAAGCCTTCAAGTAATCGAGCAGCCATCAGTGTGTCCTCCAAAAAGTTCCAATCCAGCCTGTCATAGGCTTTTGCAAGGTCCACTTTCAAAAGCATGTACCCTTTCCAGACTTCTTTGCCATTGTATGCACAGTTTCCTGGAGAATGATTATATTATCAGTAATGTGCCTATTTGGAATGAAGTTGGATTGATTTTTCTTCACAAGAAAAGACATAAGAGTAGGGATGGCAAAAATATCTGTAACCGTGGATATCCGCCCGAATCCGATCTAATCGGGTAGGGTAAAATCCAAACCCAAAGGACTTTTAGTGAGTACGGGTAAAACCCGAACCCGAATATTGCGGGTAATGGGTGGGCATGGTTTTCTCACTATCCAACCCAAACCCGCCCGATTATAACATGTATATGTATTTGGTCTAGAAATAATCATTAATTTTCTCTAACATATTTTATATTTAGCATATAAATATAATATTTTCGTGAAATTGTGTTATTTTAATTAATTTTCTTCATTCTAGTGAATTATTCTCGTACTTTTACGCTTATGTAATGTGAGAATATGTGTGAATGGTAACATATTGGTTGAAGTTATAAAGAGAAATTATTATCCATGAATAACCGTGGGTACCCGAAACCCGAACGGGTATGGGCATGATTTTGATTTTCTACCCGTTTCTTATGTGGGTATGGGTATGGGTAAAACCCGAACTCCTTTGGGTAGGGTAACAGATATGCACTATCCGCCTCCGACCCGACCCATTGCCATCCCTACACAAGAGGCTTAAGCTTGTTAGCAAGAACTTTAGCCACAATCTTGTACCCAACATTACAAAGACTAATGGGCCTAAAAAGGTTCATAGAAGAAAGGTTGTCAACTTTAGGGATCAAACACTACAAGAAAAAGGTCTTTTAGTCATGGGAAATCCAGTGTTTAAAAGCATGTTTCCTGTGACTAATAATTTTAGTCACGGGAAAATTACCGTAATATAAAGCTCTGTGACTAATTGTGTACCGTGACTAGTAATAAGTACCGTGACTAACTGATTCCCGTGACTAGATATCAATCACTAGTCACGGTATTTACTGCATTTTTAGTCATTGGTAATCCCATGACTAAATACTAAACACTAGTCATGGTATTTGACTATAGCTAATTACAACCACTAGTCACGGTAATTTCCTATGATTAATTACAATAACATAAAAAAATATTAATTATGAATTTTTCATTATTAGTTATAGAAACCATGTATTAAAGTTTCTGGCCACCAAATAACAACAAAATAATATTATTATCAACAATAGAAAGTCATCAAATCTTGTAGTCAATAATTCTATACTATTACAATCTACATCTCCTCAATAAGCTAACTAATTATTAATTCTATGGTTCTAAAGTCAACATTAAGACTGTCAATCTATCTAGAGTTAACTATTCAAAATCATCCTTCTTCTACCAAAAAAATATGTGCCAAGGACTCCATCCGAGGCATCTGCACCTTTGTATCTGTCATGAACAACAATAAAAAAAAACACCAATATTATATAACCTTTTATGATCTTCATCACTACATGGTGCAATATCAAACTTGAACCCAAGAGACGAAACAAAGAAAAAGAAACATAAACAGAGACATAACAAGGTAGCAGTATTGGAATTGTAAAGATGGTTTGGTTAATCAGGTATGGAATTCTGTCAACTGTACTATTGATGCGCTAGAGAAGAAATCAGGGTAATTAAAATTTCAGACATCAATGAAAAGTTAGTTAAACTCAAATCCAACAAAACATGAACAAAGAAGCTAGAAGCTTAAAGGACTTAAAAAGACTAACCCAAATGCCTTGTTCTCAAGGCAGGAACTAGTATACACTTCATAACTTCTCACATAAAAAACATATGGGGCTCATAACTTCACTCAACATGTACTCAAACCACGTCATCCTCCTGCCAACACACTAAAAGAGCAACAAAATAGTTAACAACTCTAAAACAAGCGGCCAGAACTCTCATTTCTCCAATTTCATTCACTGTCATTTTCTAACAAGAACCCACAACTTGTTTAGGCTCAACCACAAAGGGAACATATATCCTCGTATGTAATACAAGTGGTTCTAGGGACCTCTTACAGTTCATGTCAAAAGTATGTACATCAAAATTCATCACTTTCACTATTTGGGGGAGCTACCAGATGCTAAGTTATGTTTAAGTAAACAGAGAAACAAATATCAAAGCAAACACAATACCAGAAACAAGCAAGTCTAAAGAGATAAAGATTATGATGAATAATGAAAATAAGGAACTGATGTCAAATGCAAGTTAACAAAAGACCTTGGACAGTAGCGAGATCTCTAAATTCCTTTGATAACGTATTAACTTGCTCCTTGCTTGACACCTATAATCCAAGAGGAAGAAGAAAAGAAATAGAGGTCATGTAAAGAATAGGGTTAATGATTACATCCAATGAAGACTTTGCATCTTAATTGTCACAAAACTACTTCACCTTTCCAATTGATAGAAGCCAAAGAAGACCCTCAGCTAATGACTCTTCATCACGCTAAGCAGCATGTAAGACCTTTTTTTTATAATGATGACAGTGGTTTACTAAACAGAAGAAACAAAACTTAAAAATACAATTTGCCATCCATAAAGATTATGCGCTGTGGATACAAGAACAACAAAATTTACAAAATCACCTTCATCCTAATTCCTCAGTAGGTTAAAGAAAACATGAGTCTCACCTCCCATTAGCTTGGTAACCAGCTTCACTTTCTCCTTGTTCTTATCATTAAAAGCCTGAAGAGCATCCATGCACTCTTTCTCCTGTAAACCCCAAAAACAACCCACAAAGTTATCACTGTTACTTTGTAAACCCCATATATCTATATATATATAGAAGACAAACTAGACAATAATCCATAAAAGGGGGTTTTCATATAAAAGCAATTAGCTGCTGTTTATTATTATATCTATACATTCTTCGGGACTGATTGCCCTAGTGGCTTCAGTTACTTGTTCACTAAATCAATCTTCTTCCTGACAAGAAATTTCTTTCCTCATGAGATCTGCCAAAGCTTCTTGCTCCTGTGGCAACAAAACGATTCACAAGAATCATATTCAGAAAGGCAGAGGACAAAACAGAGCCTATCCCATGTCATTTCACCCAAATCCGGAACGCATTCGGTGTTCGTTCGTCCTCGTTGTCACTGACCTATATCTCAAATTACAGCTTATCCACAATGAAACAAGCAAAATAAAAATTGTGAAGCCTTGTTATCACTGACCTATACCTCAAATCCATGTTCAATGGGAACTCATGTTTAGTTCAGAGAAAACTGAAAAATTCACAATTTGATCAATTACATACCCTCATTTCACCCAAAGCGGAAATGTCGACCCCAAATGTGTGAGTGAAATCGAGATCAGACCGTCCAAAACTTCAGAAAGAGGAGGAGTAAAAACTGAATCTCGGGAGCCCACTGATAAGAAAGGGCTGAGAATGGAAGAGGCCAAGGCAGCTGAAGGAGGGGCTCTGATGCGAACGAACGCACGTGCCTGGCCAGAAGCACATCTCTCCGTATGAGCTAAGAATGGAGGCGAAGTCGCGACGGTTGCCAATGGTGCAAGGCGGAGGTTGTGGAGCACCTAAAACTGGGAAATTAGGGTTTGTGTGGCTGGGTTGAACATTAGGGGAAAGGCAGTTCAAAAGAAGCTTGTGAGTGCGTCGAAAGGGCATATGAGGAAGGGAAAGGCAGGGCGACGGTGAGGAAGGCGGGGTGGCCAGAAGAGGGTGGTTTGGGGAAGAATGGATGAAAGCGAAGCGGCCAGGACCAGGAGAGGGTGGTCGGGGGAAGAAAGGGTGGCTTTTCTTCTTTGGAACGAAGAGAATTTGGGTTTGGCTAAAAAGGTAATGCCACTTCTTGTTTTTCTCTGTAGCCAAATTGGAGAGCGCCAAAACTTTTAGACTTTGGAGCCAAATATTTCAGGAGCCAAATTTCAGAATTGGGGAGGGAGGGAAAAAATGCGGGAGAGCCAAATTGTTTTTCTTGTATCAGTACAAATTTTTGGATTTGCAAAAGGAGTCCGATTTTACAAAAATTCTAGAAAAATTTACCCAAAATGTGAGAACTTTTTGGAGTATGTGAAAGAGAAAAATTGCATTGATTCTAAATTTTTATTTTTTAAAATAAGGAGAGATTCAAAATCTACAGCTAGTAAATACTCCGTTTAATATACGTATATATGTTCGTATATATTTTACCAAATTAAAATTTCTGTATTATTATTATTGTCAATTCATTTAATTTTTTCCCGTTAATTTGATGGTTGCCGTACTAAATGCGTATAAAAACAGTATAACATGTTTAATAGCCATATTTTATGAATTAAATTGATAAATCAACTATTATTTATATATTAATTTTTTAATGATTAATTTAATAAATTTTATAACTATTAATGTACTATTAAACGTACCATTAGTTTAGAGACAAAGTAAAATACTCGTACGTATTTTATACGTAAGTTACCTGTCTCGTATTTTACTAACTATGTCGAAATCTATTGCTTTGTGTTTCAAATTTTTTTCCTTAATCCTGCTCGAATTAAACCTAAATTTATAAAGGTAATTGTCATATTGTTCACGGTAATTTACCGTGACTAACAATTAATCACGGTAAATGAAGACTAAAAAACAGACAAATTGGTTCCTGTGATTAGAAGTATATAATTAAATACAGGAATTTTTTCCATGACTATTAGCATACTTCTGAGTACGGGAAAAATTCCCGTGAATAAGATCCCGTGACTGAAAACCAGATTTTCTGTAGTGAAAGTTAAAAGAGTCTCATTCAAAAACTGGATTTTACTAGGGTTATAAAAGCAAGAGATTATAAACCTAGTGAAATCCAAGCCAACCATCTTCCGACACTTCTGGTAGAAGATGGCTTGGAAGCCATCCTTACCAGGTGCTTTAACGCCGTTCATACCCATCACAATAGCTTTGATGTCCTCAACAGTAGGAGGCAGAGGCATCCTACTTAAGAGATCATCATCGGGAACAGGAAAATCAGCAGGCAAATCATTCAGGCTACACGAGGCATCCTTAATTAGCATATAAGTTCAAGAAATACTCCCTGGCCATATTTTCCAATGTTGTAGCATCGTCAATCCAGTTTCCTTGGTCATCTTTCAGAGTAGGAATTTTGTTTCTTATTCGTCGACCAAGGGTGCTGTTGTGAAAGTAGCATGTGTTCTGGTCTCCTTGGATCATCCGGATTGCCCTAGACTTCTGAACCCATAGGAGTTCTTCCTCCCAAAGTGTGTCCTCCAAGGCAACCCTGACCTCATGTTCCTTCTTTAGAGAGCTCTTTGAAGGTTTTCTCTCGTTATGGATCTCTAGAGATAGCAGTTCAGTAAGGAGTTCTTTTTTCCTCCTGAAAATGTGTCCATAGACCTCCCTATTCCACTTCTGCAAAGCCTTAGTCCCTCTCTGCAAAGAAGAAGTAAAATCACCGCCACAATTCCAAGAAGAAGAGAGAAAGGGAAAGAAATTCTCATGAGCAAGCCAGGACGCAAAAAAATGGAAACGTCTCACCAAATTCCTATTTTGTGTCTGGTCAGGAGTGAAAGTTAAAATAGGCATGTGGTCGGACTTCAGCTTAGGGAGATGTAACGTGGTTGACATTGGGAATTGCTGCTGCCACTCCAAGTTACAAAGTCTACGATCTAGTCTCTCCTTAATCTTTGGTCCTTTGGTGAACCAGGTAAACTTAGGCCCTGAGTATCCCAAGTCAATTAATCCACAATCCTCAATGCAGATATTAAAGGCACGAGCTTTAGCAAGTCCCTGCTTCTCCCATGATATGGAAATTGAGTTGAAATCCCCCGTAATCAGCCAAGGAAGATGGGATTCCTCTCAATTCCTATCAAAGCATCCCAAAGTTATCCCCTCTTGTATTCATTTGGACTTTCATACACTGTCATGATCTGAAAGCGATCCCCGTTAGCCATGGAGCACTTGAGATGCAAGAACTGTTTATGTTTATCCACAACTTCCATCTTCATTCTTCTATCATTCCAGAGGACCCAGATCCCGCCACTGAAACCCATTGCATCTGAAACTCTCCAAGAGTCATAACCCATTTAGCTGATAATTGTGATTGCATCGTCCTCACTTATTCGCGGTTCAAGAATACATACAATATCTGGCTTGTGGTTCACAACATACAACTTAAAAGTAGATAAAAACTTAGGGTCTTTAGCGCCCCTACAATACCAAGAGAAGACTTTAACCATTGAGTAAAGGATAAAAACTTCCCAGGCAGACCCAATGGTCAAAAATCAGTAGTTGTCGATGGCCATGGCCGTCTCTTCACCCGTTGCTAGTCCATGTGTTCTGGCAATCGAGTTCTTAGGCACAATTTTATTCCTTTCCAATGCTGAGTTGAACTCAATCTTCTTGGATAAGATGCTTCCACTCTCAGGGATAACGTCTCTCTGTGTTGATCCATCATTGATCATGGAAGAGGGGCAAGCTGGCTTCATCTTTGATTGATGTCCTGTTTTGGCATCCTTTCCAAGCCCCCTATCCATTCCCGCCTTACAAGAATAAATACTAGGGGAGTGCCAGCTACCACTAGGCTTCCCTTGCAGGGTAGTCCTTGATGGTAGTGATGGCAATTTCAACCCGCCCCGTGGGTATTACCCGACCCGCAGTAGCGTGGGGCGGGGCATGGGTATCTACTTCCGACCCGCCTCGTTCTAGACTCATTTTATCTCAATTTCTTGCAATATCTATACATATTTCTCCTATTTTGACTTTTCTTCAACTAGTTAGAGTCGATCTTTCAACTTGTTAGGCTCAATTATCCATTATATTATCAATATTTTTCATTCTTAAAGTGTTTTTCCCTACGTTTTATTGTAAAAAGTAAAATTTACTTGTATTTTTTTTGAACAACATGTAAGAGTGGGTCGACCCGCCCCGACCCGTAGTAGCGTGGGGCGGGGCATGGGAATTGAGGTACCCGCCCCGCCCTGCCCCATTGCCATCACTACTTGATGGGGAGCTCACAACTTTCCCAGTCTGATGGTGCATCAGTCTCTTGCTGGAGACAGGTGGTTCTTTCTTTTCATGTTCATTTGTTCTAGCTTTCTGCTTGGATACTTCCAGCGATACTTTCTGATCCTCTTTCTTTATTTGGTTCTTCTGTTTTGTCTCTCCTTGCTTCTTTATTTCCCAAGAGTTTCCTTCCCTTCTGTGTTGGTGTATCTGTCATTAACTTGGGTGGTTTGCTTATCTGTCTTTATAGAGCTTTTCTTCCTCGAACCAGTGTCCTGCTTCTCAGTGTTCTAGTTAACATTCATAGTAGCCTCATTTATCCTATTCTCGGTAACCTCTTCTTCTTCCTCCACATTTTCCAGGGACTTGAATCTAGATCCTAACACATTACTTCCCTGATCAAATTTCTCTTCTTTGTTGACCTCTTCCTTTGCTTTCTGCTTCTGTTGGCCCATGTTTCTCTTAGTTCTAGTAGCGGGCATCCAAGGCCCAAAATCCTCCACAATCTCCGGTCTAATTTCGTGGCTAGCTCTCCCCGCATTGTTTTCCTTATCCCTCTCCTCCGGAGTGTCAGATTCCTTGCTAGGTCATTTATCGTTAAGGTGACCATAAAGTCCACAGGTGAAGCAGTGGTATGAAGACCCTCATACTCAACCCTTCCGACCCTTCTTTTCAGTCTATACTTTGATACAAGTCGTTTCTGTAAATCAATTTCAACACAAATCCTAGCATAGTTTCCCCGAAACCCATTTACCGTATTGTAATTGATTTTCTCAAACGCCCCAGTTTGTTGGCAATATCAGTGAGTATTTCCTCATCAAAATATGCTAGCGGGAGGCGTGGAAGCCTTACCTAAGTATAGATTTAGTCGATAGTGTCGAAGTCTGGATCAAAATCAAACCTCCAAGGCTTAGCAAAAACATAATGATCATCAATCGTCCATGGGCTTCCGTAGAGCACGCGATCATGGTCCGGTTGTGAATCGAATATCGCTTGACAGTAGCCATTTCCGATATCACCCACCTTCACTGCTCCCGTTTTGGCCCATATTTTCTGGATTCTGCAATGGGTGTAGGCAAAGGGGAAATGTTTCCCCAGAACTTTGAATTTCATAGCTCGATTCCATCTTTTCTGAATTCTCAAATTAGTTTTCTTCTTGATTCTGACTGTTGGACAGTTGACTTGTCCAGAATACCACAATAAACTCCCAATTAAGGCCCATGTATAAACCTCAATTTGGTGCAACATAGGGCAAGTATGTTTAAATGTCGACCCGAGCCGGTTCATGCACACCTACTTCGATTGTTTGTAACATTATCTAGCTATTGGTTTTTGGTGAAAACAACGATAATAGCTAAAACGTTTGGAAAAGTAAATGGATTTGACACTATTTGAGAAGGATTCACCCGGGTGTTGCTCCCCTAAGCTAACAATTATGACTTGTCGGATTGCATGGTCATGTGTGGTAAGGTGGTTGTAAACCGTAGGGAAGAGCAAAAAGTTGCCAAATGCCAATCCTTTGGTCTCTAGGTCGATGGAATTTGATTCAAACCACCAAAGTGACCCTCTCGACCTATTGACTAACGGTTGCCAAGACTTCACCCTCGAATCGGAGTTCGGATGGCCAATTACTACCAACCCTAGGTGCTAATACGAATATAGAGGGATGCCCTACATTAAACTAGGTAGGAAACAATGAATTGCCTAAGAAAACCCAGCTTTACAAGCCTCTTTCAAAGAAAGGGGGTTTTCTCTCTACCTAGGTTAGAATGACAAATAGATTGATAAGCAAACACACAACACAATCTTTCATGAAAAATACCCCCACATTCTCATTAAAACACATCCACACACTAATCATTCAATCCATACAAACATTC